TGCAGTTTCACTATTATGCTAAATGCTTTTAATTTTATTCTGTTAAAAATCTATTATGCTAAATGGTTTTAAACAAAAATGAGGTGATTTTTGTAAGAGAATTCATTTTTAAATTTACTTTTGGTGTGTTTTACTCTAGAGACACAAAAATGAGTAAGAATCCCACTCACCCACCTCTGTGTGAGATGAATACCAAGGATGCAAATTGGAATGACTTACTTGTAAACCTTAGAATGAAAAAATGAGAAAACTCTACTCCTTGGTCACAAACAACCCCAAAATCGTTAAAACTGAAAATACTTGGCTCAGGTTTAAAGGAGGAAGCTTTTGAGGGCTTTAAAATGAATATGTTGAGTTTGTTCTAGAGTTCATCTTGTCTGTTCCCCTCTCATTGATATGAAACTGCACATCTGCCAGAATATACAGTGTATTTTATAGGTGGGGAAAGGATTCAGAGATTGTAGTAAAAAAATTATCCACAATTCTATGTCTCATTATCAGAGGAAGCTGTAGTAGATGTAGCCAAATTTTCAAATAAAAACTTACTCTAAGTTGGTATGTAGTTCATGTTTTCAAATCCTTTTCTTTTTCAGGAGGCACCACATATCGAGTAACTGTTCTGTTCTTTGCTCAGGTATGGCTGGTACAATATTATATATAAAATATATTTTCACTTATGTAAATGAATGTCGCTCTGGACTTCAAAGGAGGAATGCAGCCTAAGCAAGGAAGCCATTTAAATTACTCTTGCTTCTGACATTCTCATGATATTTCCTTCTTGAAACATTTTAATTCTCTCACACCGAGCCAAATTAAATCTCAGGATATTTTTACTCTTTTGCACAAAACCATCTTCTGCGATCCCACCAAACTCTGTGATATCAACTTGCATACCAAGGCCAGGTAAGCATAGTGATTTATACCCAATGCCTTAGCAGAAAATGCTTCTGCTCCCATAAACTGGAGAATCTGATTTTTGCTGTCCCCACACCCCCTGCAATCCTCAGTACCATGTTTCATTCTGTTCTGGAGGATCCCACAACGGGGTGCGGGGGATGGGGGACATGCTGCCAGTAGGAGAAACCTGTGAAAATTAAGTGCCCTGACCACTACATGAATGCAACACCATCATTTGGTACAGCCCACTGTGCATAAACGCAGCAGGAACACAACTTTCCAGTCCCAGGATGCAGCATGACTTCAGGTGAAAAGCAGAAGCACAAAAACGATGATTTATGCAGTTTTAACCCTACCAACCTTCGAGGCAGGTGACTCATAAGCTAAAATACATGCAACTTTCTGGACTGCATTTTCTCTTAAGAAATCTCTGAACTATAGCAGCACCACATGCAGAACCAACTGGCTTTCCATGGTGTCACTGGATTTTTGGCAAGTAAGCAGGTAAGTAAGTATTTCTAAAACATATATCCTGCAGCATAGCCAATAAGGCACTTGTAACAGCTTAATTTTTTTAAAAAAGTTAAAACCATAGAATAAAAATTACTTACAACCTACCTAAAATAAAACTCAGAATCATAAATCGGACTCCCATAAATGCTCTTTCTTCCAGTGATACATGGTTCACCTTCAGCTGCAGTTTCTACAACTTGCCATAGCTGCTACTCAAATAATATGCCCTATTACAGCATGTATATGCTTGCTAGCCTGCATTTTAGATTTGCTTTAACATTCTTAAGAAACTAGGTGTTATTTTAACCTTTTAAAAAAAAACCCTAAATGAGGCGTTGGGCACCGTGTAGCAGCAGGGTTGATCGATGAACAGTGGAGAATCAAAAGGCTGCTCTCATAAGCCCTCCAGTGTTGGAGAGGCTAAGAAAAACCTGTTGAGATTCCTTTTCCCAATCCCTCTTCTAGCTCCACCTGGCAATAAAAATGTCCATGAATCAAAATGTAATACACATTTCTTTGATTGAGATCCCTGTAGAAGTGCTGCAGAACAGCTCCACTCTCTGCTCTCTCTCCCTCTCTCTCTCTTTCTCGTGTGTGTAGAAAGAATGAAATATGAAATAAAGCACCATGATAATTCTCAAAACAATCAAAGCTAAAATTTTGTGTCTTGATTGCTAAAACATTTCGATGTGATTCAGTTGTGTTTCTGGTGAAGTAAACTGTTGAGCAAGCACCTTTTTTAAAAGAAAATAAAAGCACTATTTGCACTAAAAACAATTGCAAACAAAGGTATTCTGAGCCTCCTGAATGCTCAGAAAGCATGTTTAATGTCTCCCTCATGATATACTGAAGTGTAACAAAGGCTTCACCCCTTGCAGGGAGAGATCTACTTGGCCAACAGTGAACTTCCCCAGCACAGCAGGGGCACTTTGGGGAACAAAGGGCAAGGGCCATCTCTCAGTGGTTGAACATCCACTTTGTATGCAGGAGGTCTCAGATTCTATCTTGGCCATCTCCAGGTGTGTGCCCTGTCCAAAACCCCAGAGAGCTGATTCCAGACATTGTACGCCACAAGTTGCCAACATGGCACCTGTGGGCACACACCTGCCGTAGAAACATTACCTTGTGCCTTCAGGGTCCCTTCCCACTGTGGTCATCGGGCTCCCAGTAGGCTGTGTATTGTGTTGCATCTGCAGTAGTGCTGCTAAGTCCCTTCTGCTTGCACAATGGAACTTTCTCCCTTTTGTGACCCGGGTGTCAGATTCCCTCTTCAGGAAAGGGGGGTGGTGAGGAGTCTGCAGCAGAAGGAGAGGGCCATGCAGGGTTGGACCCAGAAGTGTGCTGAGGTGAGCCAATGGAGCCAATGCTTGCCCCCACCACCCTGGCCTGAGGATGTGGCTCTGCCATCTTCTAACATGGATATCACAGAAGGAGGTTACTGGAGAAGGTTGGGGCCACTAAGAGGTGCCACGAACAACTAGGCTGCACCTGCTGCTATTGCTACTACAGAAGAGCTCAGATCCAGCTTGCTCCTTCTTGGAGCAATGTCAGAGCTCTGTCTTCTCCAGAGCCCTGCCAAGCCCTGCCTACCCTCTGCCAGAACCTTGTTCCACCTTGTCTTGTCTTATATGACAGGGGGCCTTGCTGCACTGCACCCCTTCTTCTCCTCACTAAATCATTTGGGGCAAGTTGGGAGAGGGTGTAGTGGGCAGGGGAGGAGAGGAGGGAGAGTCCCATTGTGTAAGCAGCAAATCTTTGTGCTGATGGAATGAGGGCATTGGAAACACAGCCCCTGCTCTTCCTTTGCTGCTGCTCTCAGAGTATCCCCTCTGCTGCCTTTAACAGGGATAAGTCACGCTGTGCATTCTGCAGCCGCCGACTCTGGCCTTTCAAATTTTAGTGGTGCCCTGTGCGACACCAAAATTTGGTGCCCCTGACTCACACCCTCCATTGAGCATCATTGTCATGATGCCCCCCCAGTGCACCCTCTCAGCCAGAGTCGTCTTTCCCATACGGCTTAGTGGTGCGTTGCGCCAGGGCGCCAGCCTGTCAGGGTTGCCCCAGTGAGTGGGGGAGCTGCGCAGCTTTGCCGGCAGCCTCCCCTTTCCCTGCATGCCCATCAGCTGTGCCCCGCCAACCATATGTGCAGCTTCCTTCCTAAGCCTCCGTGGGAGGAGAGCGATCCCTGCAGAGGCTTAGGGTGGAAGCTGCGCCCCGCCAACTATATGGCTGGCGGGCGCACAGCTTCCCTCCCAAGCCTCTGGGGCGATTGCTCTCCCACAGCGGCATGGGGGAGAGTGGCGCACCCCCCCCCCCCATGGCTGGCAGTGCACAGCTTCTCCCCCCATCCGTGGTAATTTGGGGGCGCTGAGTGGATATTTGCACCCCGGTGCTGCATCTGCTAGAGACGGCCCTGCTCTCAGCTCAGCACCCAGTGCAGGCAAACTGGTCTGACTCCTTTAAATCCACCTCTGCATTCTGAAGCCATGTGAAAGAAACATATAGTTTCGCCACAAAATGAAGGATACTGATTGTCCCAGGGCCAGAGACGCATGAGCCCAGCTGGCATGTTCATTGGTACTGGAGACCACATAGTGCAACTGCCTGATGCCGTCTTTCAGTGTGCGAGGGGTTCGAGCAAACCCCCCTAGCGTATTGCTCTGTTGCAGCTCCAAAATGGTTGCATTTATTTTCACAGCATTTTGATTTGATTTTATATGGCATATAGTCGGATTAGCTAGATGTGATTTTTTTAATGTTGATATTATATTATGGCAATGTTTCTTATATTTTATTACACACACGCTCACACGCACAAACTAGGGGGTGTATGTGGGAGCCAAATAACAAGGGAAATTGGGGTGATTCAGAGTCAAAGTGTGTTAATAACCCCTTGAGTGGGATCAGCCGCCTTGCATTGCTCTGTTGTTTCTAAACTTAAATTTTCGTATATGTTTCTCTGATTTCATAAGCTTTACAATAAGACAGTCCAAAAAGTTGCTCATGGAGCATAGAAGAGCTCTGGATAGCTTTTTGTTAAAGCACAATAGCTGAAGATACTTTTAAGTTATGGGGAAATGGATATAGCTATTTTTTAGATACCCCATTATACTGAATGAGGAAAATGGAGCTTTATTCTATATAGAGCGGCTTGGAATCCAAAGCACAGATTAAAGGACAAAGAACACAGAGCGACTCAGAAACAGATTGGATTTTTTTTAAAAAAAACACACAGCTACAGATGCAAGGTCCATGCACCTCCCCAGTGTGCATGCACACAGACATTTGTACCTAAATGAACAATTGACCAGGGCTCTAGTATCGTTGAAGTCCTTACACTGATGACTGAAATGAGAGAGGTTGTGCGGGTGAAAAGCAACAAAGGCATTCTGAATAAGTTGGTAGCTCATGTATATCACTGCTGAGAAAGATGCACTAGCAGCCAAGACATGGCAAGTGTGTGAGTGAGCAAACCGACATCTTCATTGTGTAGGAAGCTGTGCAGTGTTCTCTGGCATGAAGTGACTGAGCCGATATGAATTATCATCAGAGATATATACATATAATGGTGACTGCAATCATCTGTCAAGGTTCCTTACCAACATCCATGGAGTAAATGTCACAGGTGAATAGCAGCTTGCTCTGCTTATGTTAATCTGACAATGAAAGCATGGCTCTGTATTTTGGCAGCACATCAAGTTCATTGAAAACAAGGGGTTTAATTCCTCCTTGGTTTGGGCATGCTTCCCAAGCATCAGTGGATCTCAAACTTTTGTTTCTGGGTCACACCTTCAGAATAAAAATTTGCTCGCGCCACACCAAATCTCTTATGGATAAGAAATACACTGGAAAACAAAAGGCAACAACTCCTAGCAGTGCTTGATTTGTAACACAGAACACGACTATTTTATAATATGATCGTGCATAGGAGCCAGCTCCTAGGGGCTGTGAGGGCTTTGGCCCCCACAATAAAATATTTGATGGGGCCGGGCCCCCACAAAGATGATGGGCATTCCCATTTAAATGGTGTGTGTTCACTGTGTCATGTGATTCATTATGCAGGGTGGGGCTTACCTGGGTCCCCACAATATTTTGTTCAAGTTGGCACCCCTGTGATCATGGGACATTGAGAAAGTATAAAACAATGTAACTACATAAGAATCTTCCCAAAATGTAATTATTAACGAGCCTTTCATAACGTGTACAAACTCAATGAGTGGTGTGAGCTTCCTTTTGCCAGATAATCTCATTTATATTAGGTCTAATTTGAGACAAACAATAATAATCTCATCTCCTCAGCCCAAAGAAGCCTTTCTCTTTTCTTAAAAATCTCAGTTCACAACAATATGTCATGGAGAACTGTAGAAGAATAGCCAATGCTATTTTCCAGCACTTTGTTCAAATGGCGATTCCGGATCACAACTAAGATTGTCCTTAGTATCAGTTGATGCTCTTACTCTCATTTTGAAAAGATATCTATCCATATTCTGCAAATAAATAAATATTTTGGTACTATACTATAGTATTCTATACTATATTGCACTGAAATGTTTAAGTGTTTCATTGATTGTCCTTGAATGTTCCCACCACACTTGCCATCCTCTCCTGCCACACACTGTGGCTCGCCACACCCTTTGAGAACCACTGCTATACATCCTAATGGCCGCTTGTCATTAAAACTCAACTCTAGCTGATGTACACTGTGAGAAAGGTCCTAGTTTTGCAGAATTCCAGCCAGGGCCAGCTCTAGGATGAGGCAGTGAGGCAGCTGCCTCAGGCAAGCAATGTCGAGAGGCGGGGAGGGGACAGAGCTGTGAGTGCCATGTGGCCCGGCCTGCCCTCAATCACAGTGGAAGATACTTTCCTTTCACCTATATTGGAGTAAGATTCAACTGCAAATCCAACTAACCTCTGTATGTGCCTTTGGGGAGGGCACCATATTGCCCTTCAGCTCAGCATACTTGTCCTGATTTCAGCAAACTTATAGGGTTTCCTTTGTACATGGGCTGCTGGTCTTTAGTATGAGGGCGACTGGGGAATGACCCTTGTTCGCATAAAGCTCACAAAGGATGGGGAAGCTGTGGTTCTCCCGATACTGCTGGACTACAACTCCCATCATCCATGACCATCCGCCATGCTGTAGTCCAGCATGTAGTCCAGCAACATCTGGAGGGCCAGAGGGATCACCATTGCTGGCCTAGAGTGTTATCTGACACACAAAACAGGCAGTTCCTGGGTCCTCAGAGTTCCATGCCACTACACATTGAAACCACTTGCTCTGTAGATGTCCCCTTGTCCTCACACATCTCTGAGGAACTGGCTTGTGTCTGTGGAGAGAGATGTATAGACTACATTGATAAATTATAGATATTTGCATCAACCGCAGCCATTGCAATGTATTTACAACACATAAAAGCAACTGAAACACATACAACTGTCAAATTAAATTAAAAATTATACGAATTAAAACACAGAAAGCACCACAACTGTCTGTATTTTAATGGCATCTGCAATGAAATACATACATATATATATATATATATATAGGGCACATTCTTTTCTACAATCCCATTACCTTTTAGAGAAAAGTGTCCTTATTAAATTGTTCAAAAAAGAAAAGAAAAATCAGAACTGAACTCTGGAACAAAGTATCTGAAACAGTAAAATGTCCTTAAAGGCCAATTAGAAATTGCAATACTGGGAGTTTTACTACATGTAACTCCACTGTAATTATCAATCAATGGATTCAGTTGAAAAAAACCCTCAAATTCACAGCTGGGGAAAAAGATACTAATTATTTCCTGTTAATTAAGACTGTGCTGGGACTCAGGCTTACCATCCTTCAAGTAAAGGATTGACACATCAATGCTAATATAATGCTCAAGGTCCTTTTCAAAGGCTTTATTTCTAATGTTAATAAATTGGTGTCACATTATTTTAAGTGTCTTAAGCAATCATGCCATTATCTGTCATTTAAACACGGCATGTCTGTATAAACACAGAGGGTGATATAATAACATCGCCAGGGACAAAAATTGGGATGATTCAATTTGCTTCCGAAAACATGAAATTTGAATCATTTGTCTTTTGACAGGTTTGTTGGAAGACCACATCAAAGGTAAAGACTGTTCATAAAGTATTAGTTTGTTCACTTGACTTCAATATAATTTTTTTCAGTGATGTCTAGTGAACAATGTAGAGCTCTGAGTTGATGTTTTATTCAACAATAACATCTTTTTAGTGCCTTGTACGAGTTGTACTTTTATTTATGTCAAGGCCATTTTATATGGCCAACAGCGGCTTAATCTCACAAATGGGTAATTGGCAACAGGTTCTTTTGATGGATTGGGGTAAATCTGGATTAAACAGGCTGTCTCTTAATGCCAACACCATCATGTGGATGCTGCCCAAAACTGCATGAGCAGCAGAAGAGAAGACTCCCTGGAAAAGACCCTGATGTTGGGAAAGATGGAGGGCACAAGGAGACGGGGATGACAGAGGACGAGATGGTTGGATAGTGTTCTCAAAGCTACCAGAATGAGTTTGACCAAACTGCGGGAGGCAGTGGAAGATAGGAGTGCCTGGCGTGCTCTGGTCCAGGGGGTCACGAAAAGTTGGACATGACTAAATGACTAAACAACAACAACAACAAGCTGCAATCCCACAGAAGGCATTCTTCAAGAAGTACCTCCAAGTTGGCCAGCAGAAAATGTGGCATGGCCATTCAGCTGTGGGAGAAAGGAAGGAATTTTTTTTTTTTTTTAAGATATTTATTAAAGGTTTAACAATTACAGAAAAAGAGAAAAAAATAGAACAGTAAAAAATTACAATACCTTACATCAAAAGAAAATAAAAACCAGATTAGAAAGAAAGCAATACAGCACAACAATAAAAACAAAAAAAGCAAAAACATTTAAAAACAAAAAACATTCAAAAACACATCCAATATTCCTTATCTTTACCTTTCATTTACCTGTTTCATCGACCTCCTCACACCTCCCTTTTTGTATTCTAGTTTAGTTAACTATTTCAGCAGATTCTTTCCATCTTTCTCAGTTTTTGTTCTATAATTTATCTTAACAGTCTAATCTTTAATTTTTCCATTTTTACCCATTATCAATCAACTTTTACTTAAATCTTTATTACATTTCTGTTAAAACCATATAGTTTCATTCCAACATCCTTCTAACATTCATTAATTTTGCAATGTTTTTGTAAATATACTTTAAATTTTTTCCAATCTTCTTCCACCGACTCTTCTCCCTGGTCTCGGATTCTGCCAGTCATTTCCGCCAGTTCCATGTAGTCCATCAGCTTCATCTGCCATTCTTCCCTGGTAGGTAGATCTTGTGTCTTCCAGTGCTTTGCAATGAGTATTCTTGCTGCTGTTGTGGCATACATAAAGAAAGTTCTATCCTTCTTTGACACCAATTGGCCAACCATGCCCAGGAGAAAGGCCTCTGGTTTCTTCAGGAAGGTATATTTAAATACCTTTTTAATTTCATTATAGATCATCTCCCAGAATGCCTTAATCTTTGGGCATGTCCACCAAAGGTGGAAAAATGTACCTTCAGTTTCATTACATTTCCAACATTTGTTATTGGGCAAATGATAAATTTTTGCAAGCTTGACTGGTGTTATGTACCACCTATAAATCATTTTCACTAAATTCTCTTTTAAGGCATTACATGCCGTAAACTTCATACCAGTGGTCCATAACTGTTCCCAGTCAGCCATCATGATATTATGTCCAACATCTTGTGCCCATTTAATCATAGCAGATTTCACCATTTCATCTTGTGTATTCCATTTCAACAGCAAGTTATACATTCTTGACAAATTCTTAACTTTAGGGTCTAACAATTCTGTTTCCAGTTTTGATTTTTCCACCTGGAAGCCTAATTTTTTATCCAAATTATATGCCTCCATTATTTGATAATAGTGGAGCCAATCTCGTACTCTATTTTTTAGTTTTTCAAAACTCTGCAATTTTAATCTGTCTCCCTTTTGTTCCAAGATTTCCCAATACTTCGGCCATTTGGCCTCCATATTAAGTTTTTTCTGTGCCTTTGCTTCCATTGGTGACAACCATCTTGGGGTTTTATTTTCTAACAAATCCTTATATCTTATCCAAACATTAAACAATGCTTTTCTAACAATATGGTTTTTAAACGCTTTGTGTGCTTTAACCTTATCATACCACAGGTATGCATGCCAACCAAATACATTGTTGAAACCTTCCAAGTCCAGCACATCCGTGTTTTCAAGAAGCATCCATTCTCTCAGCCAGCAAAATGCGGCTGATTCGTAATAAAGTTTAAGGTCTGGCAGGGCAAATCCACCTCTTTATTTAGCATCTGCTAATATCTTAAATTTTATTCAAGGTTTCTTGCCCTGGAATTGTTCCTGGTCAACGAAACCTAGTAAGCAGTGCAAAAATTAGGAAAAACAGTGCAATACAAAATGTTATACTTTATTGCTATATACAATCAAGTCTTAGAAGCCAACAAGACTAAAATGTTTACAATAGATTTGCGTGATAAAATATCCTTATATAGAGACTTGAGAATGATAAATTGATTTACCAATATATGCACATTGAATAAATGTGTATGGGCACATGTTGAAAATAGTCACCCATTGCTCACATGCTCAGTGTCCATGGGAAGTGAGTCCTTAATGTGTGATGGCCTGCTATGCCATGTGGCTGGACATGCACAGCCTAACAACACCAGAAAAAAGGGTAAATTGTGTTCCCCTTTATGGAGGCAGTGTTGGTTTGCAAGCCCCCTCCACAGAGGCTGGCCCCTCTCACTGTCCTCGGAGCTTGCATATCGGTAACCTCCTCTGGCTGACATCCAGACAGACCAGAGAGATTTTGATAGGTGACATTTCCCCAAGTGTGGGTAAAATGCACAACCCCCTCCTTCCTGCTTCCGCAGGGGAAAGAAAATAAGTCAGAAATCTATTTTCATGATGTTTATTTCTGACATTACAGCACTAGAGAAAAACACGTCCTTTCAGTTCAGTTCTTCTAGCACGTCAGACAAACTTCCTGAACATGCGCAGTCGGAAGGTTTCAAGTTACGCTCTTCACAAAGACTTATCCAGCCTGTGAACGTCCTGGGAAATTCTTCTTTCCCACAGATAGGCGCATCATGTGATGTCAACAATCTGGGTGTCTGCAGCGGTGATGTTTCCATATACTGACATCCTCCCCCATATGAATCATTGTTAGCTGCGGACATGGCTTGATCCAGAGAAGAAAACAAACAGTTGTTATACATGTAACAATCCCCTGTTGTTTCAGTTCCACCCTTGGAACTACCCGCCACTGGTTTCACCAATGTAACTCTCTGGTTGTCTGTTTTCCAAGGAACGAGTGCATCTGCATTACCTTGGTTAGGGAATGTAGTGTTACGTTTAGCAACTCCCTGTTGTGTCTTTGTCTCTGACTTAGACATACCCTTAACCTGGCTTGAGTTGTCAACAATAGTAATACATGCAACAGCTGAACTAGCAAACTCTTGAGAATACCTCTTGGGTGGTACGCCCTTTGTAACCCTCTCAGACCTGCGTATGAGGTGCTGATCCTCCTTGCTGACTGGTTCAGTCTCAGGACTTTTCGGAGAACCAGTTCCAATAGTAAACAGTGGTTCATCCTTAACCTGTGAATGTCTAGCCATTGTGTGTGAACCTCTCTCAATAACTGTGTCAACAGAACTCTCTGAGCTTTCTGTGTCACTTTCAGTATCACTATAATCAGAATAATCAAATTCATCATCTGAATCATAAGCAGTGGGAAATGTGTGAAAAATTACTCTCTCCTGTCCAGGAGCACTTTCTAGAAATTTTGTGAGAATCACCTGTCCAGATTCAGACAAAATTACTCTGTAGAGACCCTTTTCATAACCCACAAAAAGGCCTCTGGCATTCTTCACCCCATCTGGAGTTTCCGTCCTGATTTGAGATCCAAAAACCTTAAAATGTGAGACAGAAGGTTTCCTGTGGAACAGCTTCTCAAAAGGAGAACTTTCCATACCTTTCGAAACCTTTCTCACCCGAGTGTAACAAAAACATGATAAAGATTCAGCCCAATACTCATGTGGCAAGTGTGAACTCAGCAATTGTGCCTTCATGCCATTTTGCAAATCTTTGTTCACTTTTACACAGTTTTGTTCCATGCAGCCTCTGAAACAGCAACCTTGTGCTCTATCCCTTGCTTCTCCAGGAAATCCTGAAAATCCTGTGAAAGAAAAGTTGACTTTTCATCTGTGAAAAGAAAATCAATTTTAGCATCATGAACATTCTTAACCTTATCACAAAACTCCTTAAACCTTTCTAAGGTTTCTCTGGGACTCTGCAACATGTAAATCCATACATATTGAGAAAAATGATCAACAAATACAAGATAGTATTTTGCATTGCCTCTAGATGGTGCTAAAGGACCAATTACATCAGCATACACTCGCTGAAAAACACTGTTAATCTTTGTTGCCTTTCCTCTCGTGTCTTCTTTCGAGATACCTGCAAGAGAAAGCATTTTAGATTCACATGCTGTGCACATTTTATAGTCCGATTCCGCAAATGTCAACAGATACAGTCCATCTTTCTCTCTGGCAGAAAGATACAGCTCTCCATCTTTGTAGATTTTGCAGATTTCCTCATCATAGGATAACACCAGTTTCTTCTTAGCGATTTGAGAAACACTCAGCAAATTCTATTTTAAATCAGGAACAAAATAAACATTGTTTATAGTCAAGTTCAGACTTTCTAGATACACAGTTCCGATCCCGGTTGCTTCCATTTCCTGACCATTAGCCAGTTTCACAGTGAAGCGTTGCTTCTCAAACATAGAAAACAGTTCCCGGCGTGATGTCATGTGTTGCGTCGCTCCTGTGTCTACAATAAATGAGTTCTCCATGGATGATGTGGCCTTTAGTGACATCAAAGCCATATCTGGTTTTGCCTGGGATTGGGTACAACCTTTGTTTGAAGCCTCAGGCTTTACAGAGCTCCCTCTAGCTTCTTTCTCCTGACGTGGTGTCTCCTGACGAACAGCATTCTGAGCTACAGCTTTCTCCTCTGTAGCAATAGTAGTGGGGGTGCTTGATTTCTGAGGTTCACTCCCCCCATCAGCAACAGCCATTGCAGCAATGCTAGGATCATCAACAGCAACAGCATCAGCAGCAACAGTCTCTCCACTTCCCTGTTGTGGCTCAAAGCTCCTCCCAGCTTTCGATGAGCTCTCAAGAATTTGGCTAGCTTCATCTTGGCTCTCCCTCTTTGGTGCAACCACTTCTCGGTCCTTGCTTCCCACCCCAGCTTCACAAGCTTTGCGGAGTGACTCCCAAGCGACCCTTGGTTCTTGTGCACCCTTTAGGACTGGCTCAAGATAAGCGTCCACATTTTCCGCCAAAATTCTCAGGACACGCTGCTTCAATTCACTTTGAACTGCAGCCTTCTTCCCCTGTGCTTGTACAGCAACAGGCTGTGGGGTCTGGACTAAGTCCCACAATTGCTCTCCCACCAGCAAGAATTCCATTTCAAATGACCATTCTAGCCAGTTTTGGCTATTCAGTTTCTGAGAGAACAGAGCCATCTTTAATCCCAAGCTGCAGCTTCAGCTACAAACTGGAAAATCCAAAAGTCTATTGGGCTGTTTACAAGCTGCTTGCACTTGGCAGTCAGCCCAGCTGCCTGGAATTTTCCCTTCCACAGAGTCTGTAAACAACAAGCCTTCGCTGCAATCCAACAGCAATCAGCAAGCTGCACTCTGCTTTGGAAAGTCCCTTTTCCAACAGTTTGTTTACAACAAGCGTCGCTGGAAAACACTCAGCCTTGCTTTCGTTTCTGAAGCTTCTTTTCTCTCTTTGCTCTAAGCTAACCAGTTCATAAATTTAGCTCAAAAAGTACTCACGACCTGTCGCTTAGCAACGGAACTTCTTATCAGCTCTGGAATGCGAAGTATGCGGCCTCTCTCCGCTCTGTTTTATCCAAAACAGGAGCTTTTTTTCTCAGTGAACCAAAGACTTTTCAATTCGCGTTCACCATCCAGCCATAAATCAGCATCGCAGAGGTCTGTGGATCGCTGCTTATCAGCAAAAAAAGTCTCCCACCTGGTGCTCAGCCGTCTTGTTGTTGCAACCATCCTCTGCTACCACTTGTTGGTTTGCAAGCCCCCTCCACAGAGGCTGGCCCCTCTCACTGTCCTTGGAGCTTGCATACCGGTAACCTCCTCTGGCTGACATCCAGACAGACCAGAGAGATTTTGATAGGCGACATTTTCCCAAGTGTGGGTAAAATGCACAACCCCCTCCTTCCTGCTTCCGCAGGGGAAAGAAAATAAGTCAGAAATCTATTTTCATGATGTTTATTTCTGACATTACAGCACTAGAGAAAAACACGTCCTTTCAGTTCAGTTCTTCTAGCACGTCAGACAAACTTCCTGAACATGCGCAGTCGGAAGGTTTCAAGTTACGCTCTTCACAAAGACTTATCCAGCCTGTGAACGTCCTGGGAAATTCTTCTTTCCCACAGATAGGCGCATCATGTGATGTCAACAATCTGGGTGTCTGCAGCGGTGATGTTTCCATATACTGACAGGCAGAAGGGCAGTTTGGCTGGGGGCTGGCTGGCAGGCCTAAGCATTTCCTGTAGTGCTTACTTCCATTGGACTGGCAGTGCTTGGAAAGCATAGGAAAGGGATCTAGAGTGTTCTGACATAAGCTGCTTCCCATGTTTCATGACACTGTAAATGGTCCCTTATTTTAAGAGAATGTCCATCTGGAAACCCTAAAGGGAAAAAAGGTTATCGCTCTGAAAGAGGCAGCAGGGCCTTTAGGCATCATTAGAGTGCGTGAAACTACAGTCTACCTGGGCCGCATCTTTTACGAGCAGGAGCTGTCATTTCACTGCCCACTGAAAACCTATTTATCTGCCATGGAGAATGAAAATGAGTTCTTTTTCGTGTGCAAATGCCGGTGGCAGATTTGCCTGGCCTAACTTTCACAATTTAACAAACTTTTGTCATTTCCCCCACAGCCAATTTAGCATATTCTAATCTGTTCCTCCCTCCTCACACACAAGACACACACAAACACCAACTCCCACCACCATTCCTGTTTACTATCTCTTTCCAAATAAACATAATATTTTTTAGCAATGACAGGTGATTACCAGTCTCTCACTCAGCCCTGGTAATTCATTTGCGCCTTCCAGCAGTCATGAGTCATGGGTCTTTTACACTTGTCAAGGAAACCTAATCCTTACCCTTCATGGGCCAGATATCCTAAAGATGGCTGAACATGTAATTGCCTTGAAGTGTAAAATATTTCCCACATTATTTATTATGCTATTGCCAGCTAGTACTTCTATAGTTAAGGTTGTGTCAGCATTTTCATTATAAACCTATATTTCCAGCTGTAAAAAACCTGCTGGAAGGTAGAGCTGGTGCTTGATCAAAATTAGGGACTGCTTACTGGGAGGGATAAGGGGTGCCGTGAGGCCAGGCCAGTTTAGAAATGTGGAAGCTTTCTGGGTTGTGGTGGTTTCTCTAGACTTTTTTATTCTTTGGGATGCTCCTCCAGGTGTGTTCAAGAAAGGCACGAGATTCCAGGCTTTATGTGAATGCTGTGATCTAAGCACAAACAGTTGCAGTGCTGGCACATGAAATACCACACCACAGCTTTCCCAAGCATTGTTCTTATCTGAATTTCTGTTCATTGCACTGAAGCAGTAGTTCACCTAAGATGAGGTATAGGAAAGTTACCTGCCTTGGATGCAGCCTAAACAACAGTGTGACAAAGGCCCTGGCTCTAAATAATGTGAAGAAGAGTTTGGATTTGATATCCCGCTTTGACACTACCCGAAGGAGTCTCAAAGCGGCTAGCATTCTCCTTTCCCTTCCTCCCCCACAACAAACACTCTGTGAGGTGAGTGAGGCTGAGAGACTTCAGAGAAGTGTGACTAGCCCAAGGTCACCCAGCAGCAGCATGTGGAGGAGTGGGGAAGCGAACCCGGTTCACCAGATTACGAGTCCACCGCTTGTAACCACGACACCACATTGGCTCTCCAGTGAACTAGTGAATGCTTTATTTTCAGTACAGAGTGATTGTGTTATGCTTGCAATCTGGGTACCCAATGGCTTCTGAGCTGGAGAGGTTTAGTCAGAAAAGAAGTGGGAAATGTGCAGAAAAGAGCAACCATGAGATCTAGTGAAATCTTGCCAGAAGTTGCTGCTGCCGCCGCCACCAGAGCAGTGACGGGGGTCAGGCAGGATATCCTTGGGATGCTGTCCCATGGGATTCTGTGACCTCAGGTGGCTGTTTCAGTCTGCCTGATGGACGGGCTGGCCCTGGGCATGATAAAAGTTTACAGAATTATGTCTGATGTTGAGAAAGTAGCTAGATACCTTCATCCAATATAGTGCACTAGCAGCAGACTCAGGAAATGGCAAAAAAGAAGAGGAGGAGGAGGAGGAGGAGGAAGAAGAAGAAGAAGAAGGAGGAGGAGGAGGAGGAGGAGGAGGAGGAGGAGGAGGAGGAGGAGGAGGAAAAAGGTACATCTCCACTTAATTTATGGAAATTTTCTGCCATTAAGTGTGGTGATGGCTTAGATGGTTTTAAAAGGGGGATTAAGACAAATTTATTTATGTATTATTTATGCATTATTTTATTTTCTACTTTGATTAATTGCTGGAGGTTGATTCTACTAGCTATGCTCAGTATGTGGCACCTCCAGGTACATAGACTGGATGCCCTGGAATACTTATTGCTCGAGGGAAAGCAGCTGGGGAGGAGGAGGAGAAGAAGAAGAAGACGAAGAGGAGGAGGAGGAGGAGTTCGGATTTGATATCCCACTTTATCACTACCCTAAGGAGTCTCAAAGTGACTCACAATCTCCTTTCCTTTCCTCCCCCACAACAAACACTCTGTGAGGTGAGTGAGGCTGAGAGACTTCAGAGAAGTGTGACTAGCCCAAGGCCACCCAGCAGCGGCATGTGGAGGAGTGGGGAAGCGAACCCGGTTCACCAGATTATGAGTCCACCGCTCGTAACCACTACACCACGCTGGCTCTCACAAGCCTTGCCTCCATGATAGGATTGTGGTTGTGGGCTGCCAGGAGGCATCTCGGTGATTTTGAGACACAGGATGAAGTACCAGAGGTGAGTCTATTCTTTGATTCAACAGCACTCTTCTTAAGTGTTCTTATTTATCTTTTTGGCAGTGGCATAGCTAATGCCTAGCAACCACATGGGAAACTCTTCTGGTCCCCAGCAGTAGATGACATGGTCTTCCCTCCAGAAACAGGGGCTGGGAGGAGTTTCAGATGGTTTCAGTGGTCAGCTGATGGTAACGATGCTGGCCAGTGCTGCTGTCAAGACAAGACTTTAGGGCAGAAGTTCAGGTTCCCACTCAGCAGTGGTTGGCAAGGTATCGTGACTTACCTGACCTCCCATCACCGGCATCACTATGGCTTACTGGGAGGGAGAGGAGCATCGAGGCAGCAAGTCTGGCACAGTGAAAACACACAGATGGGAGCACCAGATTGGTTCTGCCATTGTGTCTGCACCACACGGATCTAGCTGCCGCCACCTCCCTCATGCTCCACCTCTTGGTACACTGCAGCAAGGCCACGGCAGGGAGGTCAGGTAAGTGCTCCCACCCTGCCAACTGCTGTTAGTCCCACACAGCAGAATGAGGTGAGAGGTGGACAAACACAACAGGGTTACATTGCGACATTTTAAAAGAAGTGAAGGCAAACACATTCCTATTTAAAGATGGAGACCCCAGGAAGATAATTAAGTCCAGGGTCAAAAATTGCCTAACCCCACCACTGATGCCAATCCACAGAAGCAGACTTTTCCTTCATCTGTGTGACTGCTGCGAAAATATTATTGGCATCCATCTGATTTGAGAGACAATGGAGTATGTCTCTGGGGGTGAAGTCAAACCGCTGGAGGTTCACAGCACCTTCTGTGGCTGTAGAGACCAGTAACTCCTGTGTTGTTTTGCTGCATGAGCAGTACCAAAGTGACCTCTCCTGTACGGAGGTCCTGAGCTACCCAGATGACAAGACCCTCCTCTCGGACTTGCTTTCACTTGCTTTCATAAATTATATCTTAACCCTCCAAAGTGATTTTTTTCTAAGGAAAAATAATTCAGGAAATATTGCTATGAGCTTTCACACTTCTCAGGCAAAAGCAGAGATCTCACTCACTCTCCCTGCATTCTGTAACAGTCTAAATGTGTGACCATGGGACAAAGTAGTCACTTATCAAACTTCTTGGTTGCAATTGGGAAGAAGGAAAAGATGGCAGCAGTGTCTTGGCAGGTGACTTCTTCAGAATTGGAAGTTGCTCAAGGCTGGATGCATGTTAGGTTGTGATGGATTCTTGTCCCAGCTGTATAATTGCTCTTGATATTTTGAAAATAAATAAATAAATAAATTGTGCCAAACAGTGAAATGATTGAATTGTTTGTCCAGTGTCACTTGCATAGACCAAGATGATGCTGAAAGAGACAAGGACTTTGGGCTAATTTTATCCTCCCATATGTCAGATTGATTGTATGTTCAGTAGCTGAAAGGGCAGAGGGTGTTCATCTACATGGCATCGCACACAGGAGCCAGCCCACCCTTACCCCAGTGGCAAATTTTTGAATGTCATCATGGTTTCTGCCTGCCCTCAATGCAGGCACCTTTTTTCTTTCTGTTTTATAGGAATGCTTAAGTAAAAAGGGGGGGGGGGAGGTATTGCATGCAGAATGACTTGTATTTTTACCACCTGGAAGGGCACTGTAAAGTTTTGCCTGATCCACAACAGCCCAAGTGGATTTTCATCTCAGTAGCATGATATAGCTACAGCTGATTAAAATGGTACCAACATTTACAATTTACTACTTATGGTAAAAAAATTTTTAAAGAGGAACAAATCAGTGACCACAGTCTTTTATTCATTTATTCCTATCATCCAAGAAGAAGAAGAAGAAGAGTTTGGATTTGATATCCCGCCTTTCACTCCCTTTAAGGAGTCTCAAAGCGGCTAACATTCTCCTTTCCCTTCCTCCCCCACAACAAACACTCTGTGAGGTGAGTGGGGCTGAGAGACTTCAGAGAAATGTGACTGGCCCAAGGTCACCCAGCAGCTGCATGTGGAGGAGCGGAGACACGAACCCGGTTCCCCAGATTACGAGTCTACCGCTCTTAACCACTACACCACACTGGCTCTCTCGAGGCACAATCACTGCTAACTGAAAACTTCCCCCATATATCTGTTCTTCGTATAGTTGCACAATTTGAGTACAGCTTCCGTACTTTCTTCCTGCATAAAATACTGCTGTGCTTTAGCTGATGCAAAATGTGATTTGCTGTTTTGTTGCTGATGATGGTTACCTAAAAACCTGGTGGGATCCTCAGGTGTCTTAGTGGCTGTACTCCCCTCCCAACAGCATGAGATTCTGTTGGTGGGGAAGAGCTCCCTTGGTGGGAGGTGGAGAGGGGCTGGTTGTCTTGTCCCAGCGGGGAGATGGGGTGTAAATGAGGATGCCCCCCATATGTGTTTTTTTGTTTTGTTTTGCTTATTTATTTTTGCTGTTGGGCTGTTCTTATTCAATGGACCCCTTTGTCCATGCATGATTATTGGTTGCTGAATGTTTGAATGTTTTCTCAATAAAGTTGATGGAATCAATGTGGTAGGCGCAAGGAGAAAGTGGCTGTCAAGTGATTGTCTCTGTGGGGGTCATATGTTCACATTAGTTTTGTGTTGTGTGAATGTGTGTATGCGAATGATTTTGGTGGTTCCATTACAGGTGAGAACCTTTTTGTAACAGTTATTAAATTTTCTATTTACATGCTGCAATTATTATTTTGTTGCTTATGAGTTGCTTTTGCATTATTAATTAACTTGTTTCACTTATGTACCTTTTTGAGATATTGATTGTTGCTTAATTACCTTACTTAAAACATGATATGTATTATTATTAGTAGCAATAGTAATATTAAAAAATGCTTTACTTACAGATTTGCAGTCCCAGTCATGCATTGTCCTATGCAGCAACAATAGCTAATGCAGGCAAAATATTCTTGGGTAGAAATAGGAAAAGTAGCTTCAGAAATGTGTTTGAAGCTGGGAGCTATTGTGAGACATGTTCTCCATCCACGGCTTACATTGTGAAGAAAAGAGTGGAGAAAGGAAGAGAAGAAGCACATCAACTCCTCTCTCACCAGAGGTGAGGGGTCATGACTTAACTGTGCCTACTCTAGCAGTTAGGACACTGTTAGAACACTTCATACAGCAACCATGCATAGTTATGTTTGACTGCAAATTTCCCACATTCCATATGTCTGGAATGTTTTAAAGGGGGACTTTAAAAATACTACCCCTAACCGCAACCATGGCACAATTTCATTTCCTACTGGTGCAACAAAACAAAATATGTAAAAACTTGAGAAGTTGTCTTAGAGGTCATTTAATAAAGGCTGAGTTAGAATCAATACTGTAACTGAATAGATTGTATAAATTTGCATGCAGCTGGTATTAATTGTGATACTTTCTTAGAATAACATTATGAGCTGTTTTGCTTTTTGCTATTTGTGTTCTTAATACCAAAGTGATGTCCAATTATGTCTATATGAATATGAAAAATAAAATATGACCCCTTACAATCTGTAGCGGTGAAAGCTTTGAAAGTTTACATCTAAAAACATGAAGTGTGAATTAGGAATATAGCATCATTCTTGTGTTCCTCCCAAAATGGTTTGATACTTTGCATGTTGTCTGAGAGTGTGCACGTGAGACCTACTGCAACCTCTGTTGCTTCCTCCTTCCCTTGCCCTACAAGGGTCTTCCCCCACCTTACCTGGAGCAAGAAAAAGGGGAGGGGGGTTGTATAGACCAATGATGGGCACTTGAGATGCTGCTGGAGTTCATCTCTCTTAATTCCTGACCTTTGCCCATGCAGGCTGCGAGTGATGGAAATTTGGAGTTGAACCACACCTGGAGGGTCACAGGTTCCCATCTCTGTGTGAGAGGCAGCGCCAGTTCCCATCTCTGTGTTAGAGGAAGCACCAGTTTGCTGTTGAGGAACACCCTGGCCCACCTTTGGCAGAAATGGAGATAGTCAATTTTTCACCAAGGACACTGAAACATGTAGTTCCAGCACACTCAGTGGCAGGAAAGGAAGATCCACTAGGGAACTGCAGCTTCCCACCTCCATGGCCTCTCTCTCCTGCTAAGTTGGAGAGTGCTTGAGTGAGCAGGGGATGGTGGCAGAGAGTACTTAAGGTGCACGTGGAATGGGGCACTTTTTGCACCCCACATCCTTGTGAGTAGGGATGGGGGGGGGAGTTCAATTCAGTTCACATTTAAAGGTGAACCCACCTAATTTACACTTTCTGGAAGAATACACAAACTGAAATGCAGCCATCTTTCAAAGTTCATGCTTTCCCAGATTTTACAGCAGTGTCCTCCAGCCCAAAATGTGTACAAAAATGCACATACTGGTGTAGAGTATATACATAAAAATGTGCATATTACTGAAAATAACGTTCAAAACCTGC